TATTTATTTATTTATTTATATGTATAAATAAATATTTATATAAATGTGTATGTATAAGTCAAAATTTCTGATTTGTAAAATGTAAAAGTTGTTTTGTTATTTTTGAAATAGGGTAAAGATAAAATAGGGAAAGTGAATTTTTCCCTTAATATTAATCACATTTTTCATGACTCCCACGTCTTTTCAACTATAGAATAAAAAAATTTCTATTACAGTCAACTGAAAATCTATTTTAATCCCCACGGAACGCCCCGTAAATTTGTCCATATGAATTTAACGCGTCCAACAAACTGCCCATTTTGATAAGAGGAGGGAAAATAACCACCGCCTTCTCCGCCACTACCACCGCCGTTTCTTGCTTTCAACCCCCAAGAAAACATTGAAACTTTGCAGCTGGGTTGTGTGGTTTTGAGGGTGGTGGTGTTGGCCTGGTGGGTGTTTCAGAAAGAGACAAAAACATCGACCCCGCCAATGTTAATGTCATCAGAACTCATAATCTTTGATTATTTTCGTTTCATGAAATGGGAGCTCGTTGCACCATTTTGGACTTATGTTGCCGGCATTCTAACGTTGAATCTGACGCCTCTTCTGCCTCTCATAACGGTATAATATATATTTATACACATATTTATATCTATATGCATATAATGCGTGTTTTCAGTTTTATTGATTTTTTGTGTGTTTTTGGTGGGTGGGTGGGGAATTTTAGAGAAATATGAGGAAAAAGAAACGGAGAAATTGTCGGGTTTTAGGAAGTTTAGATTGGAGGAGCTCAAGGCTGCGACCTTAGGATTCTCCATGGACAGAATCGTATCTGAAGATGGGGAGAACGCCCCTAACGTGGTTTATAAAGGTCACCTCGTGGTTGATGGCGGTTGGGTCGCCGTTAAGCGCTTCAAGAAGTCTGACTGGCCTGATTCTCGTCAATTCCTCGTCAGTTTGTTTATATTGTTATACTCTTCTGCTTATTTGATAATAATTTTCTTTTCACGTATTGTGATTGTATTTGCTGCTGATACAATGTGCTTTGAAGTGAACGTGTGTGTTAATAAAATGGTGGAATGATCAGGATGAAGCAAAGGCAGTTTGGCAGCTAAGGAGTGATAGAATGGCAAATTTGATAGGTTGTTGCTGTGAAGGAGATGAGAGATTGCTTGTGGCCGAGTTTATGCCACATGAAACTCTCGCGAAGCATTTTTTTCACTGTGAGTTCTATTTAATTTGTTTTTCATGGATGAATGTGAGCCATATCTCATAAGATGATGGAACTTATGTTTTTTGTTTCATATCATAAAAATTTTCAGCGAATACAATGGTCGCTAAGAAAATAGAATTCTTTTATTTACATGAATTGATTACAAATGACAAATGGAAAAACAATGTGCTATTTCAATGTTAGAGTTCTTCAGCTGGATATATGAACTGAGGATGCAGACTTAGGTCCACATAGCGTCTTCTGCATTGAGTTGGATCAATACTCTTACTGTTTTCCTCTATTTTTTTTATCCCTTTTTATTTGTTAAGAGATTAATTTCAGATCAAAATGAAGTGGTTTATCTTCTCATTTTATTTTCATTCCAATGCAATGACTGATCTCGTTTGAAGATTAGTTTTTGTTACTGATATTGTTTTGATTGGTTCAGGGCATAACCAACCAATGAGATGGGCCATGAGGTTGAGGGTGGCTTTATATTCAGCACAAGCATTGGACTATTGCAATAGTAAAGGCCGAACATTATATCACGATCTCAATAGTTACAGAGTTTTGTTTGATCAAGTACTTCAATTCGCCTAATATTTCCCAAGTATAGTCCACTAGAGATTTATAATTACATTTTTATTGTCCACTCCTGACTTTTTGTCAGCATCTGCCAGGATGGTAATCCCAGGCTTTCATGCTTTGGACTAATGAACAGCAAGGATGGAAAAATTTACAGTGCAAACTTGGCTTTTGCCCCTCCAGAATATTTGAAGTCAGGTACTTGTTGCTCTCGTGAAGAGCTTGCAAGTTCACTAGTTTTGGATTTTGTACATTCTTTCTTCAACGAATATCTATACTTCTCTGCTTTATCATGAAATCGAATACAGCTTTTGCACATTTTATGTGATTTGTCATAGTCCTCTTTCAGATTGCAGCATGCGAGAGGCTTACAGTTGCAGTCATTTTTGTAACTTTTTTCTCTATAATTAATGAAATCAGCTGGTTGAACATGCCAATCTTAGTTGACGATAAGAAGCATTTTCTCCATTGATTTCTTAAGGGAACTGATCTAACTATATTGTTTCAATATGGCAGGGGGAGTGGTCCCTGAGAGCATAGTTTATAGTTTCGGCACCATATTGCTCAATCTTCTGAGCGGCAAACACATCCCGCCTAGCCATGTAAAAACTCACTTCCTTCTGCTTATACATGAAATGTTGTGCCCTTGAAAATTTTAAGCTATAGAATTAATTAAGCTGGAAATATAAATCTAATGAGAATGATATCATTTGGCCTCTGTTTCTAAAAGTTTCCACTAACAAATATATTCTTAAAATGCATGGAGAAGATGTACATATTGTGCTGGCCGCCCCTTGGTCCAGCGTGACCCTTCGTTTTTAGGTGTGTGAGGTCTTAATTTTTCTGGTCTCGTCGTGGCCCATGCTGGGCTGGACCATGATAAGTCAATTGAGGCCTGTGGGAATTAACTATTTATAAGACTTTTTTTATGAAAATTTTGGAGTTTGAAGTGAAACAGGCTCTATGGTACAGATAGACATTGGTCCCACTCGAAAGAGCGATAGGGTGAGAGCCCATGACCCTCTTTAGTATAGTCAAAACCTGAGTGGCACATTCCACGTGGTCACAAGCCTCTACAACCGAGCTTGGCTTGGTCCATGACATGGTCCAGGGTGGACCGGCTCATGCCTTTCAAAGGCTAGGCCACCCTTGGCCTGGATGGCCCGGCACATTTTGACACCTATAAACATAACTGAACTTTTGATTGATTATTTTATTGCAATTTTAAAATTCTCTTGTAATCCTTGTTCCTAATTGTATTGCTTGTGTTCAGGCTCTTGACTTGATGCGTAGCAAGAAACTTTTGATGCTGATGGATTCATGTTTGGACGGCCAGTGATCAAATGATGATGTTACTGAGTTGATGCAATTAGCTTCACATTGCTTACAGTGTGAACTTCGTGATAGGCCAAAATTTAGGTCTCTTGTGGCCTCTCTTGCTCCTCTCCAAAAGGAAAAAGATGTACGTCTGTGCAGTGATACTGATATAAAAGAATAAATTCAAACTTTCAGGAACATTATAAATAGATATACACGTTAATTGGTGCAGATTATTTAAGCTGATTATAGATTATTGATCAGATATTGTAGATACTAATGCGGTAGCCTGATTTTTCTGATGATAGTATCTGATTCATACATAGGCACCATAGTCCATGAGCAAACATAGCAACATAGGAGTCAGGAAATTGCCTGCTGTTTATTAATTCAACCGGTTGATACTGCTAAAAATAGATTTTATGGGCTGAAAGTTAAATATTAGGTTGTTCTGCATCAATACAACTAACATATTCTACTTGAACTTTTCAGGTATCATCACATGTATTTCTGGGTATTGTTCATGAAACTATGTCTCCTAACCAAAAGTTATCCCCCCTTGGTGAGGCTTGCTCAAAGTTAGACTTGACTGCTATACATGCGATACTGGAGAAGGTTGGATACAGGGACGATGAGGGGGTTTCAAGCGAGGTTTGTGTTTCTTAAACTTCTACCTAGTATAGAGTCTTATCTTCATGTTGACAAATGCAACACCAAGAATTTTCTTAAATTACTAATTCAGCAAATTTAACGCAATTTGTATAGTATCAAGGCATATTTGATGCTCCGTATTGGACTGGATAAGGATTAGTTTAATTATATCCAGTGTGTTTGGTGCAAATAATGCCCAGATTAGGCGCTGTCTGGGCGCAATTTTGCCGAAATTTTAATGTAAATTGGAGACGTTATACAGTAAAGGGGGCCCCACTGCAACAGCTTTTTTGACTGCCTTCTTATCAGTTCATGAAATTGTTTTATGAAAAGACGAGAGTGCCCCTTAATGATTGCATTAAATATTTTGAAATGGGTGCATTTTTGGTATTTGGACCGTTACAATCCCCCAAAAGCCACTTTTGTTGACTTTTTGCATGGCAAGAGACCCATGTGCCTGTCAAATAACGGTCCAAAAATCCATTTTCGTATTGAAATAATCGGAACCAGACATGCCCTAAATTAACTAGAAAGAGCTTATCGTCCTTTAAATCGGATTTAAAAAATAAGCTCAATGAGAAAGGTCTATTTATTCACCATGTGATGGATAATATGGCAAAAAAGTAGCATTTGAGTCCCCAATGGATGGAGCCTGTAAAGTCAAAATTGGTGGAAAACACAATTATAACCTTATATTCAATTGAAAATAATAATAAATGATATTAAAAAATAAGAAATTTTGAAAGAATACAATTTTCTTCCTTCTCCCTCCCCCAATGTTCAGTTTCTAACGATATGTCTTCAAATTGCATCTATACCTATTCTCAAAAGAACTTTCCAATATACATTCTCATGTCAAAATCATTTTTCTTTTGCAGCTTTCTTTTCATATTTGGACAGATCAAATTCAGGAAAGCTTGAATTGTAGGAAGCGTGGAGATACTGCATTTCGTGCTAAAGACTTCACCACTGCAATAGCTTGTTACACACAGGTAAGTCATCCAATAATATCAGTCATAACGACAGAAATTACTGCACCAACCGAAATGCAATGAAAAAAATTGTGTTTACTAAAAATTTGTTCATTATTTATGTTCTTTCAAGACATTGGTGCTGGGAAAATTTGTGTTGACAAAGTACATAAGGTCAAAACAGACGATGAAACTGAAATGCTTTGCTAATTTTTTATTTTTTCCTTGTTACGTTCATATCAGTTGCAGAAGTTTCTTTCGAGGCTTAAAGCTTTGATCTTTATGACAAAAATATCGAAAGTTTTATGCCACTTCCATTTCAGGCATGTCTTGGTTGAGCTCTTCCAAGTGAAGTAAATCGTATCTAAGTTTCCTTATAGAAAAATCAATATGACCTTAGGAACTCAAAATCTGGCATGGGAATGGGTAGACCTGATTTTGAGTGGCCTAGCCTTGTCCGTACAATATTTTTTCAAAAATTTTCTATTCATAGCATACTTTACAATCGGTTTGTATTTTAAACTTGGGTGAAAAAGTTTCAATTACTTGGCTCGCAGTTTATCGATGGTGCAACCATGCTATCCCCAACAGTGTTTGCCCGGCGCTGCCTATGTTACTTGATGAATAACAAATCACAAGAAGCTCTTTCAGATGCTGTGAATGCACAAGCACAATCTCCTGATTGGCCCACTGCTTTCTATCTTCAAGCAGCTGCCCTTTTTAGCCTCGAAATGAATAAAGTTGCCCAGGAAACGCTTAAAGATGCTTCTTCTTTAAGTGCCAAATGAAATAATGAACAGTTATAGTTTTTCTTTCCATCATTTTGGCGTTAAAAGTCAATTTATCCACCCGTTTCTATTTATTCGGGATATGTTTGGCACTGTATAGAATGGACACGACAATATAATAAACTCAATTTTAGCTTCTTGTTTGATAGTCTAGTGCTATCAACATCACCTTGAAGGTGAGAAACAATATTTCTTGTTATCTTCTGTTTTAAAAGTCTTGCTAATATTATAAACGACGTTCTTTCGATGTTTGGTGATCTAATTCTCGATACCATATCAAAAGGATATTAGCATCGAATATATATATACAGAAATGATCTAATGNGTGCTCATTAGATCATTTCTGTATATATATATATTTTTTATTTTATTTTATTTTATTTTTTATTATTATTTTTTTTTAATAACCGTGGATATCCGGGCTAGCTTGCGCGCACCTCGACTAATCTTACGGGACCCTGAAGTTTACAGTCGGATACTCACCTTAGTGACCTGAGAGGACTCGAAAAGCCATGACCTGATATTCAGCTTTGCTAAAATGGTAAATCAGAAAAGCAACTTGAGATGTCTTGAAAGTGATGGAACAAATTTCAAAATTGAAGTGCCAAAATTTCATCACTTCAGATTTGTCAATAAATAATGACCTAAAGAGTACGCAATGTATCTATATGATCTCATGAGGACACCATTCTTCACTCACATTGAAGGCCGACCAGCACGGAGCAGCTGCCCTATAAGATTCGTCACCTGAAAATATAGAAGGATTAAATCGTAAAATGTTCATCAACTAGTAGATGCCTCTCCTTTGGCTATCTTCGTATTTCCTATTGCCGGGTGGGGCTGGGGGTCGTCACGAGAAGGGCAACCTGGCAGCAAAGAACTGAATCTACTCGTATATTTCTGGAACTCTAATTATTACCGAGTACATCCATTGGTTACAACATTTGAGCTTCTTTTTTAGCATTTACATGAGATCCATATGTAAACAGTATATCAAATATCAATATAGGTGTGTTATAAAATATAAATAATAAAGTGTGTAATAAACTACATAAGAAAAGCACATGGAAGTAAATAAAAGACGCAAGAAGCGTACAAGGAGTGATATACAAAAGCATTTCTGTTGGTTGACTTGGTTCGTGAGAAGAAAGGGGAAAGTTTACTTAAATCAAATGAAATTGAAAATCCCTTACCTGCCAATATTTTGAAACACAGCGATCAATGCAGCTATTTTCGCCTATATTTAGTTCAGTATCCTTGTACCTTTTGAAAAATAAAAGGCCAGAACAGATCAAATTGTCAAACAAGCATCGGTAAATTTTATTTCATGGATGGATGTAGAAAAATGACCATGGCATTTTGTTGTTCACTTGAACAGGGAACTTCAGATAGAGGGATAAGAAGTTAATACCTTTTCTCAACACACTTGTTGAAACATGTGTGGGTAAGCCTGAAATATGATAGATGACATGTTAAATTCGGGAGACCGAATCCTGACTAGGACAATGTATATTGATGGTATAAAAGCACAATACTGCAGGCCAATCTTTAACTATAATTAAGTGAACATATATACATGCAAATCCACATAGCAAATGGAAAATGTGGAACACAATGCCAACTTTATAAGAACGGTATATTGTATTGGCTCAACGCACAAACATGTATAGGTATGGGCGCATAGACATCCAAAATGCGTTTCACGTTATATAGCTGATTGATTATCTCATTTTTGTAGGCCCATCATCAATTTATTCCCCACTATGTGGGCAAAACCAAACATAAATTGCTTTTGGAAAAGAGATACCTTCAGGATGAACCAAAGTTTTTAAGAAAAAAGTGTTACTCATTGAGGCATGTGCTTTTATTGATTTGGTAAATTTATTGGAAAGTGCTCAGACAACACAAGGACATTTAGTTTAGGATATGGATCTTCTGATTCTTATCCAATAAGCAGCAAAGTAAATGAAAGATCTTCCTACTAGCTATGGAATGATACGATCTCCTACCTAAGGAGTAAATAAATATCTGAATTTCACGAGTTCGTATGGTTATGGATAAGGACAAAGTCTTCTAGCCTAAGTGGATCTTGACCATAATAATTGGAGATCGTCCGCATTCCCTGTAAATCCATATCTTAAAATTAGGCCTTGTTGGACCCCCATTTTCTAAAACTCATTTTTTCCCTAACTCGTTTTCAACCACACATTCTTTTAATAAAATAATCTTGCACGTAAACCCAAAAATTTCTACTTATCAATTACAAATTCTCCAAAAAATAACTTTTCACAAAATCTATTCTCGGAAAATCTTACCAAACAGGGGCTTTTGAAGGTAGGAGCAGAGCTAAAAGAGCTTTAATGTGAAGGGTGATACGAAACCAATTCAGGATTTACCACAACTTTAATATCGCCTCCTAGAGGAGCCACGAAAGGGGAATAAAGTCTTTATAAGTTATCAAAGGCCTGAAAAAGCTTCCTGGGGATTCCTAGTACTAATTCAGTGAATAAAAAGTTCCTTTTCATAATTCAGAAAGGCCAAACAAGAAATTCCTCTGTAGTAATTCAGTAGGCCTAAGTCCAACAAGAACTTAGTACACCTCAAAAACCTGGAAGGTTTCACTTCATCCTGCAGCCAAGAGAAGAAAAATCCATGTACCAGGATTCTCCTCAGATTGCAAAAAGATTCCATCAATATTGGATGGTTTGGTTGGAGTGTAACTAAAGGACATTAGTGCAAGAGAAGTTATAAAGAGGGAAGAAAAGAGGAAAGAGAAAATCAAATTTGAGTTTAACAGAAGAAATAAAAGGTGGAGATTAGGATGGAAGAAAAAAATCCACACAACTATTCTGCTAAACCTAGGGACGCAGGTGCTAAAGAGAAAACTCTGTCTCGATTCTGGATAGAGAAATGAACTCTCTTTGCCAGCATTTGATCAACATTTCCTATTGTCACAGTTTACTTGCCAAAGAGTTTCTCTCTCTTGCTTTCCTTTGTGGTTACCTTTACTGATCTGTGCCCAGTGCCCCTGTCTTATTCACAATGCATATTCCTTTCTCTTTTCACCCAATAGTCGGCCCAATTCTCCAGATTATAGGTTTCATTCCCTCTCCCTAAAACTTTCAAAAAATCCACGCAAACATATTCTCTCTCTTGGCAGATCGTTCAGATCTTAGCAAGAGTCACTGGGAGCATGACACTGTTTTTTCCTTCATTTGACAGAGGACACAAGTCTTGCTATGTTGTGTATTGCTATTTTGTAGGGTCACTATTGAAATCATCAGCTCTTCCAGGTTTTCTTAAAACCTTATTAATATGAGCATGGAGCAGGCAAGTGAATGTTGACAGTTGAGTAGCAGAATTAAGCCTTTTTTAACCCTCTCTGTATTCAAGAGCTGGTTGATGGTGGATCCACAAAATACAGCCAACTTTGAACTATTTATGGCCTTCCATTTTGCCACCTTATTAGTTCTAACACATGTTTACTTGTGTTGGTTCCCTTGCCTGGTTTTTGTGTGCAAGTGTCGTCGGTTTGTTCTTACCCACTTTATTTAGGTTTTATGTGGTATTGTATTGTCTTTTGGCTTTACTTATGGGTGAGGTTGCAGGTCATATCCAATATGAGGACCCTTTTTACATTTTATTTGACGATGACATACTTTTAGTTGGTGCGACTAAAAAGAAGATATATATAAGTTAAAAGACTTCAGAATCCAAAGGTCTTACTTAGCCTTTAAGTAGAATCAAAACCTATTACAAGCAAAGCCATTTAATAATAGAAAGAAGGAGAATAAAGAGTGTAAAGGATCGTGTTTTTCGAAAGGTCATTGTTTTAGGTATATCGGTTTGATTATTAACCAAATATTGTAGAACATGCATAGGATTATAACAGAGTGGTTTCATGATTGTTTCAAGAGAGTTTCTAATTGGCATTTATGGCTTATTTCCAGTTTCTAGTTTCAAACTATTATACCAGAACAAAAACAAAAATCCCAAATCTATGTCTAGCGATTTTTCACAAATTCTCGATCATCAAGACACCAAAAAAGTGTTTTTTCCCGAATATCAACAATCTCTCACTGGACATTTCTGTTTCAAGTCTCAAAAATCGCAAGCAAATAAAAACGTTCAACAATACACCACTGGATAACCTTACTTGTTAAACAATTCCACTCGGTATTCCATCTCCTTTTCTGCCATACCAATAATCTGTATCCAAATCACAAAATGCTCATTTATAACTTGTTTTAACGCAAAAGCTAATCAACTAATATCAGCTTTTGTAAATGTGTGTATACGTAATAAAAAATGAAGCACCTGTTCCTTGTCCATTGCTGTTGGTGGCGAATTGCGTGACGACATTATTACTCCACTGGAACAGCTAAATGTAATTTCAATAACACGAGACAAAAGAACAGAAAGGTGAATTGAAAGAATTGGATTAATCGATCCCCGTAGAAATAGGGTTTTAGGGTTTTCAAAAAGAAAATAAAATGAAAATAGGGTTTTAGGAGAGAGATTGGAGTGTAAATCATAAAGACCAAAATCTGGTCTGACTTGGATAAATTTGGCTTATTTTCAAATCAAAATCAAACTATATTTTTCAATCTTTGACTTGGTATCAAACTTTTGATTTTAGTTTGAGCCCCATTTTGTCCAATAATAATAATAATGAGGGAAAATTGCAGTCACGGTACCAAATATTTCATATTTTTGCAGACTTTGTTCAAACATTTGTTTTGTGTCACTCACAGTACCAAACCTTTAAACAATTTGCACCTGGAGTTCAAATGGACAGTTTCCTTCCAGTTGACCGTTGGTTGACTAAAAAAATCAAAATTAATCAAATTCATTAGGGGTAGAATGGTAATTTCTACTTTTCCCATATAAAAAAGAACTAAAATAAAATAAGTAAATCAAAAATTAAAAAAACCCTATTATCTTTTCCACCCACCCCACCCCACCTCACCTCACCCACCCCCACCAACCCCAAAACCAAA